ACTATGGCAATCCTAGGGAACTAATACAATTGCTGTCACATGGACTTCTAATTCTGCTATGGTTTCTTGATATTTCTTTCAATAATGAATGTAAATCATAATTCAGTTAAAGGTTAGTAGTCTGAAGTCTAAAAACTCTATGCCTCAAGCAATGTTAACACCTTAGTCTATGATCCATTACTAATGAACTGTTTTAACAAAAATAGTAACCTATGTTTAAACAAAAAATACATTAATACTTTTTTTTCATTCAAAACCATTCTGAGTGCCACAAAAATCAACATGTTAGGAGTTTGTAATGATTATGGTTCTGGCCTCTAAAATGAGATGCTGCTATGAAAAAAAATTGTCATAAACACCAAACTAAATCTAAATGTTAAAAAATAAAAAATACATTTGTGTTAACTTCTTAATCTATTAAATTATCCTTTAGTGTTAGATTAAAATGATTTGTATGAATAACCAAATGAAAAGACTTTTTCTTGGCACTTCTTGGCCAATTAAAACAAGAGAGTTAATAATCTTGTCAGTGTAAGTATTCCTTTTAGAAATACTCAGTTTGGTGTTTAAACCCAATAGCCTTAAAAAGAGCACCACAAAGTTCCCCATCTGTGATGTACATATGACATATTATCAAAGGCACATGGCTATTAAGCCCAAAATAAGAAAATCGTTAAAAATTCTGAACATACCAATTGTTTCTAAATTTTTTATCTTTATCCTTCAAAATTGATGCTTTTATTTCCTCATCCTACCAGATCTCTACCATAAGTTTTTTATTTGCTTAAATATTTCAAAAACAACAATACAGTAAAATTAACAAATATGTATGTTACAAGTCTAATGGCTTGCAGTATGTCTACCACCATATTACTTTAGGGTAAGTTAATACAGGAAGCACCCATAATAATGCTTTAGTTCAAATACCTTGATTTACAAATGAGAAAACTGAGGGCCAAGGAGACTGTCACTTGCCCAGAATCACAGACTGAATCAGCTAGGAGAGCAATGCATCTCCCAATTCCAAGTTCAATGTTCTTTACACTATACCATAATGCATAGAGGTTGGTAAAAGTTAAATAATCTGCAAATGACTTTTGTATGATCACATACATGGTAATTCTATTTACAATAATGTATTTTAAAATAGTTGTTACCCAAAACAACCTCACAATTTTTTTAAATATCTATCTTACCATCTAGCACCTTTTTAAAATAGGCACAAGATCTCATTTCCTCATTCAAAATTGGTGAAAATTTATTTCTAAAACTGGAGAGACATTTCAAGGCATAAGCACTCTCATACATTGAGTTTTCTTTTCTAGAGGACAATTTGGATGAAAGAATAAAATTTTAAAAACTGCATTTATTTTTAACTCCATCCCTAAAGCATCTCAAGGAAAAAGTATAATATATTTGGATGAAGACAACTCAGGATCACATGCAGCACTGTTCAGAAATATCCAAAAATAGATCGATTAAAACCAATGTATGTTATATACTGAATGTAATGTAGCCATTAAAATTATAGTACCCTAGAAGGAAAAGATTCACAAAAATATTAAGCTATAATTGTATCTACTACCCAATTCTATTCTGTTGAAAATACACATATATACATAAGTCATATAACACATGGGTAAAGCATTTATCAAAGTGCTTGGCACATAGTAAAAAATCCAGTATATGAATATGATTCATCAACATCATAGGAAAGGAAAAGTGTGCTTATATATCAAATGTGAAGACATTATCTTAGTAGTAGAAGTGCAAACAAATTATTATTCACTTTAAGGACCATTTTTTACATTATCTGAAATACATTACTCCTGAGTGGAGGATGTTATCCTTTTTAAACGGTACTTTTAATTCGGTTCCAGTTCCTACTGAAGATTGAAGAAGAAAAGCTGAATTTTACCAAGTTTGGTATTGCGTAAGACAAAATCTTACACATAACAGATCCTTCGCTAATTCTTGGTTAAATATATATTCACAATCAGCTTCTGGAAGCTATCTCTCTACAAAGACCTCTCATTTCAAATAATATGGCATGTAATAGAGGATTTCAAAATGAGGCCTCTAAAGGCCTTACTGGATTTTACCATAATGGCTAGAATAGGTTAATTTAAGGTTTTTCAAGATATTGGTGATTTTCACTTTTTTTCTAGAGTTTGAAATCAGGTTAAAAACATTCAAGTGTTAAGAACAGTCTCTACTGTAACTAAATTCCTATTAATTCTGGCTTTTAAAAAAATGAGAAAAAGGGGAAATACACACATAAGGATTTTATAAATAAAATCCACATTACCGGAGAGTTTTAAACTATAAGTCTTCAAGAATATCTGCCAAAGTATATCTCTTGTTTCTTCATAATGTGATTATATGATTACAAATAATAAATTGCCATTTCAAAGTGTTACTTTATATATTAAAGATAAGATACATAAATTATCAGAATAAAAGCTGCATTCATTCCAGCCCTAGCCAGGTAGCTCAGTTAGTTAGAGCGTCCTACCACTATGCCAAGGTTGCTGGTTTGATCCTGGGTCACGGCACACACAAGAATCAACCAGTAAATGCATAAATAAGTGGAACAACAAATCCGATGTTTTGTTCCCTCTTTCTCTCCCCCTCCTTCTCTCTATTCTCTCCCCACACCTCCTTTTTTCTAAAATCAATACATAATTTTTTTTTAAGCTTCATTCCAAAGAAGTTCACTGTGGTTTAGGTAATGCACAATGTGGCCATTAATAAAGCCAATTACCAGATGAAGACATCACTTTCTAATGTTAAAAAAAAAAGTAAAACTCCAAGAGTGCATAACAAAGCTCCTAGGGAGTAACTTATCAATAAAGCAGGATAAATTTGTGAAAATAGAATTCTAAAAATCTGGGTGAGTCCCATACTAAGTACAATTAAAATCTAAAAAAAGAAAAAGAAAAAGCAGCAGCCCTCCCCATAAAAAAAATTTCTTAAAAAATGTCGTTTGGTGTTTCAAGTATCAACATCTTTGGGATTAAACCACTGGGAATATTTACCCTATTTTTTGTGTAACAGCACACTGACATCACTACACCAAAAACTTGCACTCTGGATTTGTCCATGGCAAGTATTACAAAGGGAGCCCATTTAGAAACTGTATTTTACACGTGTGTCAATTCACATTCCTCATTTGCTTTTCTATTAGTGCATCCAACAAGGAGGTATTCAGTATTTTACTTTAAATATGGTAGTCTTTTCCCATCTCTAAAAGAAACTTGACATTTTGATCCAAGCTACTTTCTTAAGAGATACTAATAAAAATTATCGTCATTTCGTTCAGAATTTTTAGTAGTTTTTCTTCTAAGTAGGCGTTATCTGAGATACAATACTTCTTGATCTCTCTCAAACTAGGTCTAATCTGCGGGAGGCAGTGAGACAGTGTACTGCACTGTGAATGGACAGCCAGGTATTTTATGAATGGAGGCGATCACGTGATCCCAGCACCTCCCAGAACTGATATTTCCCACATAACTGTGTCAACATTCTGAGAACAAGGGTAGTTATTTGTGGGTGCCTATGTTTTCTAATTTAACCTATAACTTCGAATTCTCCTTACTTACCGAACTCAAAAATCTACATGAATACAATCAAGCCTCGAATTTTTTTTCTGGGGAAATCCTTTCAAGATGTCCAAGGTGATGGATGTTTAATTATTTTTTTTTATGAATGAAGAGTGTGCTATGCAAATGAGGGCGATTCACAAAAAAAGGGAGAACATGGCGGCCACCTCAGCTTCTAGAATGCACTGACACTGCAGCAATCTACCTTCTCCCACACCCGCTCATCAGAAGCGGGTGTTGCGGGGGGAGGAACGGGAAGGAGAAACGCTGCTTGGCACTTCTCAAGCTATTTTATGTTAAACAGGCCCAGGCTTTGGACTTTTAAAGTTCTCTCAAAAAGGTCTGACTGGAGGAATGCACTTTATTTAAAGGAATGCATCCTAGGACTAGCCCTAACTCACTTAACTCTTTCCAACCCTCAAGAGATAAGCAAAACCGGAATTGCAAGAAAACAAAAGCTAATACCCTGCATGAAATTAAATCGCGTCTCAATAGAAAACTGTCATCGCACCATTATTTTTACAAGCAGCTGTTAACGTTAAAGTAAAATGTGTAAAAAGCAAAGTATTTTGTTTGACCTGACAAAAGAACTGACAAAATTCAATCTTTAAACGGGATACTCTAGAAGTTAATCAATGAAGTCATCAACATGTTAAGCAATATACTGTTAAGTCAACGTCAACGGTGTATTTTAATATAGCTGAGGAATAAAAATTAGCATTCAAAAATTTATGTATGCACCTGATAAAGACATGACCAATGGTCGCAAAGGTAAAAAATTTTAGTTCAACATCTCCCATACTCCAGATGTCTTTATCCTATTAAATTCTAAAAAATGTTCCCCAGCCCCATTTTTTACAAGAATCTTACAGGTCATAAGTTTAAAAAAGAAGGGGTGGGGGTGGAGGCTTAATCGGTATTTAAGAGTCACTGACTCATCGAATTAAGATTCAAGAGCAGTTTGCTGCAAGAGGTGCTCCCACACATTAGTTAGCAAGTGAAATAGCTGTAAAGGAAGCAGGATGGATATTCAAGATATGATGATTGACATGTTAAAGTGAAAAAGGACAGGCCAAAGGTCTTCCAGGCAAACGGGTAATTTCTATCCTGCCGCCCTCCATCCGTCCATCCACATTACTCCATCTCCTGGACATAAAACTGCCACCCAACCCCAACCCTCTATACCCTTCCCCAGATGAAAGCCACTAAATGGGGTGGGGGGGGGATTGCTGCCATGAAATTAAAAGGCTAAAGAAAGCAAATGTTATGTACAGAACAAGACGCACCGAACTCTTTAGGGCTGCAAGCTTTCCGGCACCCAAGTCGCCGAGGGGTCTGGGGGACAGCGGAGGAAGGATGGGGGGGGGGGTTTGTAATCAAGATCAATGAGGCGCTTACTCGTTGTCAGAAGTCGCCGTCTCCTCGCTCATCTTTCCCTCACCGTGATCCGATCTGGAGATGGAGGAGCAACAGTAGGCGGAGAAGCAGCAGCAGCACCGAGGGGCAGGAGGCAACGACGGCCGGGGGGGCGCTGGGGCAGCGGCTCAGGGGCCTCACCATGGTGGATGCCTCACCCAGAACGGTGCCCCCCCAGCCGGGAACCCCGGCCACCCCCGCAGGGGGGTGGCGGCAACAACCTCCGCCGTGGCGACCCCAGCCTCTTCCCTCGGTTTAGTGTCCAGCCAAGTGATCTGAAGAGGCCGGGGAGTGTTCGTGGAAAAGAAAAAAGAAAAGGGGGCTGCAAGGGCTGACTGGAGAGCTGCTCCTCCCGCCACTGGGGTCGAGTGCGGCGGGGTCCGACAGGGAACGAGCGGGCGGGCGGGCGGAGAAGCCCGGAGCAGAGGCGGCGCTTCCCTCAGGGATGCGGCGAGGAGGAAGCAGAGCTCAGCTTGGTGGGGGCCGGCAGGGGGGTGCCGAGCCCAGGCTCCAGGCGGCGGCGGCAGCGCGGTCCTACCGGAGCCCACCCCACCATCTCCCGCCTCGCTGCAGGCTGCCCGCTCAGCCCCCGGCAGCAAGTGGGGCGGTCCTCAGGAACAAGCGGAACCGGGTGAGGGGCCTGCGGTGGCGGATTCCTCCAGACACGCTCCAGCCGGGACGACTCCAGAGGGGGAAGAGGGGGCGGCGAGGAGCGTGTGCGGCGGTGGCAGGCAAGCCGATCTCTCCCACCCAGGCCAACGAAGAACGGCCACTCCCGAGGAGCAGATTTCCGAGAAGCGACTTGATAGCGAGGAGAGCGGCCGCAGGTCCCCCGCCAGCCGGTGCCCAGCAGCAGCTCCGCCGGCCAGCTCCTCACCTCCCCACACCCGCCAGAGAGGAGTCGCGAGGGGGGCGGCGGAAGCGCTCACGCCGCCCGCTCCTTCCGCCGCCGCCGCCGCTGCTGCCCGAACCGGGGGCTCCCGCAGGAGGAGGCGAAGTAGTCCCTGGCGACTTCTCCAGGCCGCCGGCTTCCCGCGGGGGCCAAAGTGACCACAGGGTGGGGTTGCCAAGAAGGGTAACCGGGCTGTGAAGCGTGTGGGTAGGAGGACTAAATGCTGCGGTCTCTGGGCGAATCACTGCAACTCGAAGTCGTGTGCAGCATAGCAAGTTTCAGGAAAGTAGTTCCCTCCTCCCTTCATTTCCCAAATCGTTGTCGAGCCACTGAGCGGGGAAAGGGAGGAGGGAGGCGGAGGGATACGCCAGGCACCGGGCTCGGTGTGCGTGCGCGCGCTCCAAACTCTTGGCACGCTGCGAAAGGGGGCGGGGGTGTGAGCTGCACTGGGAGCTGCTTGGGAGGCTGCATTGTTGCGGCGCGGTGCTCCCAGTTACTCGCTTTGGAATATCCAAGTTGCTTGAACGAGGAGGCTAGAATGTCAGTGTGCTCAAGGAGAATGTTGGAGGCTACTCTGATCCGACGTGTGTATGTGTGTACATATGTGTGTGTGAATGTGTGTTCTTGCAGAGCAAAGAATGGAACTGGCATGAGTTCATCTTTAGTTGGTGGGGGTTAGAAAAGGGACTGTACAAAGAGAGCTCCGCCTGCTGTCCTCTGCTTGCATTGCTGCAGTGTCCTAGCTGTATGCACAGCGGGTGCTATGTGTGTGCGCGAGTGTTAGAAGAGAGTTGGTTTTAATATCTTGGATTCTTACTGCGCAAGGGGTATGCTGTGCAGAGCATTCATCTCCAAAAGCTAGAATGGTTGTTAATGGAGAACGACTTCCATTGAAGCCCAGGGTAGGCGTGTTACATGAATCTGGCGCAGCCAGAAGCACAGGAAATAACTCCCGCGGCGAGTGAGGTTGCATAACTATAGCGCAGAAGATGCCTCTGTGGCATGAACTGCTCTGAACGGAGGCGGAACGAGAATTGAATAGGCAGCTGTCACGTTTGCTTTGTTAGAGGACAATGTATGCATTCATCTCGAAAGGTTTTTGCACAAAAACCTACTTAAGTTGCGGGCTGGAGTATAGGGGCTCCTGGACCAGAGGACTCTGAGCCCCTAGCTTTGCAAATTCTATTATCTCTTCTCTACCTAGAAAGCCAGTCGATATGATCCGGCCTGGGGGACTGAATCCCAAGCGGGCTCCAGATTTTCTGATGCTTGTCCTGAGGTAATCCATCTAGCTCTGTGCGCAGTGCTTTTTCTCTTCATTCTCAGGTTTGTGCGACCTGTGAATGGAGGTTGCTGCTCCTGCCACCTTGAAGGGTTGAACAATTCCTGAGGAAGAACAAAGTGGGAGAACCTCCCACACGAGCCAGCACTCCTCTTCTGCCATCTGTCTTCAGGAAGTTTCAGGATTGCAGTTCTCAGGAGTGCATACACTGGCCAGTTAACAGTGTTTTGCCCATAGTAGATGCTTAATAAATGTGTGACGAATGAGTAAACAAGCCCAACCAATCGGCCTGCCCCCTCCCCAAAAAAAGCATTCAGTTAATTTCTGAGGTTTCTTGCTTCCTGCCGCAGCAGCAGCAGCAGCAGCAGCAGCAGCAGCAGCAGCATTGTCCTTACTCCAAGTGAGGAAGGGGTAATGCTGGTGACAGGAAAGGGTGCGAGGATCTGGGATAATCAGACGTTGCCTCTGTTACCTCTGAACCTGAGATTTATTCCTACTAAGAACCTGTAACTGGGAGTGTTGGTACTGGCCTGCTCTCCTCCCAGTACTGCTGGTGACTGCTTCAGCTGCTCAGATTTCAGTCAAGTACCATCAGTTGAAATTTGTGTTCTAGACAAGTTACTTAAACTCAGTCTGTGTAAAATGGGGAAAATAGTACCTACATAGAGTCGTTGTGCTGATTAATAAGTATAAATATATATAAAGCACTTAGAACAGATTACAAGCTCAGTAAATCCTAGCTCTTCCTATGATTTTTTGTAAAAAAGAGATATAACAAACTCCATGACAGGCAGTGGCACTTGCTCAGAAGTTTTCGTGTAGAGCATTCAACAGCCTTGTTCGTTCAATAAATAACTCTTTTTTTTCTATGTACCAATGTTGCTAGGCACATACCCTGGCCTTTGGTAAGTCATCAATAAATGATAGTTCTCAGACTTATGATTAAGTAAGTACAAGGAACGTTGGGTTACTTGCAAAACCTCATTATCTTTGCAAGAAATGTGTATCTGAGGTTCAAGTGCATCAGGGAAATTATCGATAACAGACTTTGGGAGAAGATATGAAAACCATCTTTCCTGTCATTTGCAAGGCATTATGCTGGTCGCTTTCACACACAGTGCCTACCAGAAGGAGCAAGATATAATCAAGAGCCCAAATTAATGCTTTTAGATTGTTCCCAATCCCATGACCAAGACGTAGTCCCCAAACAGTTCTTTTTTAAAGTACTGTAAGTCCTCACTTAATATTGATAGGTTCTGTGACTTTAAGGGAAACAGCTTATAACAAAACCCGTTTTACCAAAGGCTAATTGATATAAAAAGTTAATTTCCTATGTTATAACAAAATGACATTGAATAAAGTGATATTCGCACCAGCTATACACTGCAAGGACTGCTTTAACGCAGACTCCTGGAGCCCACTCCAAATACTTGTGATCACAGACCTGCAATGGGACTAAAATCTGTTTGTTTTTCAGAAGTAGGCCAGGTCTTTCTTGGTCCTTCACAGACTACTCCCTTTCCTTGCAACCTCTTGTATCATCACACCTCTGAACAAATCTCTAATTTAGGCCTCTTCCAACAGAACATACAAAAAAGGTGGCACAAAGTTTATCTTAGGCTAAGGTAGATACTGGTCAAGACCGGAAAACTGGCTCAGCTAAGGAAGATGGATCCAACAAGTCTTGAAAAGCTGTGTGAGAAGATAAATATAGATCACAGTTTCACCTTATGTTCCAACTCCATTCAGTGGATTGGGTACTAGTTAAGAAGAATTCTTTGGCCATCTCAGGGTCAGAGGGGTAAGGGAACCTCGCGTTTGCTCCCTCATATTTTCCTAGGAGGGTTTGTGAGAAGGAGCTGGCTACAATAGCTGGTGCTTATAAGGTGGCTCTCAGTACTATCGTCCTGAGCTTAAGAATTAGCCACAGCCACTTAACACTAAACCTGCTACAGATGATTAATTATTGAAGCGTCCATAGGCCAACAGCACAATTGCCAAGTACTTGTCACTATAGGAAATCATCAAAGTTAAGAAGGTACAAGTGGGTTGAGTTCCACGTAGGTGTCAGACCAGAGTTCACAAGGACCGCAAAGTAGCCTGTCCTCATGGAGGCAGTGGAAGATGGCATAGAGCACTCCAATTCAAGGCTTTCTCCTTTTCTCCAGACTATTTGGTCTATAGCGATCATTTTCTTATGAACTCAGAATATGCCATCTCAAATTCTTTTATTTTTTGCCTTTACTGTTTTAAACCTGTATTAATAATTCTTTCTCTCCCCCCCTTTTTTTTGTGTGTTACTTAACTTTTTGTGAACTTGTTTGTTTTCCCAGTTGCATTTTAAATGGCTTCAAGGCAGAGGCAGCATTTCATATTTTTGGTGTTCTCCTCAGCATTGGTTTTAAGTAATGAAAGCTTTTCAGGTGAAATAGGATACCAAAGCTTTGTGCACATATATAAATGAAGCTGTATCGACTGACACTGTGATGGAATAGCAGTCCCCTCTGGCTTGCTATTGTGACTTGGACACCACTGCAGTTCAGCACTTCACACACACCGTGCTTCGTGCTAATAGGCTCTCGGCAGATACTTGTGTACTTGAAAAAGCCAAAAGAGGAAACAGCCATGCCAACATTTGAGGTTCTCACAGAATATAAAATGCATGTACACATTTCCATTTCTAAATCTACTCTTAACATTACCTCCTGACAGAGGTTATTAAAATTTTATATTGTAAAACTGTAGTTAATATGTGCCTAGATCAAAGAGGACACTATTTTCATGCTGTACTTTGTTTAATGAATGATTTTTTTTTCGTGTAACCAGTCTCTTGGCTAATGAGCTCTGCCTCTCAGTGGAATTACTAAATGGTAACCATGTTTCTAAATAGTTTCCTTGCCTCTGGCATGAGTCTGTTTCTCCATCACTAGGGTTTCCATGTTCTTCTAAACTAGTACAGAGTATAAAGAAGTATGCTATTTTATTTTTTTCCCAAAGGACTACAATTGTTGGTCTGGTAGTATCCGGTGAGTGTGAAATCAGTTTACTTTTAATGCTATAACTGCCTTTTACAGGAAGTTTCCACAAGATTACAACCAGTACAAGGGAAATGAGCAGCCTGCAATTTCCTTTATTTTCAGTATAATCTTAGCAGGGAGGATGCTTACTGGGCCCCGTACTACTAAATAAAGCACTCCTCCCTAACCATCATTCTCGCAAATAGCTTTGGCATGTTCATTCTTTGAAGGTGATTTCTAAGACCATATGCATGCAACACAAATTTAGTTCACAACAAAAATGTCTAAGCAGTTCTTTGGGTTTTGTTTTAAATATGGTATTTGACTTCCCGTTCAGTGAGTAATAATAATTAGCCATTTTATAGGACTGTGAAACTAATGCCCCTTCCAGAACTCACCTTTCTAATACCCTTGCCCACTAGGTATTACTATCAACTCCAATTAATGAGAGAATTAGGAACTAAAAATCAGAGAAGTTAGGTGACTTACCAGTGGTCACACATTAGTAAGGATGTAGCTGAGCTCAAACTCAAATTTTCTCCTTCAAAAGCGTGTGTGTGTGTGTGTGTGTGTGTGTGTGTGTGTGTGTGTGTGTGTGTGTTAGCATTATATATAACTTGTCTAAGATGGGATCCTTCGTGAGATATTTTTCCCACTTCAAGTCATTATTACTGTGGAGGATGACTTGGCCGGAGGGCAAGAGAGCCATACTTTAGATAAAGAGAAGATTAAATCTTTGGCTGTTATCAGCTGCCTTCTGTGGGCCTCAAGCACTTTCTGCCATCAGGATGTGATGTGAAAACCTCTGGTGTCTCTTTTGTGAATTGGTAAATAATTCTAGAGCCTTGATGGGTCTACTACTTCTATTAGGAGGCAAAAAAGTCTGGTTGTGTTTTGGAATACTAGCAGCTTTGATGA